CATCCATAGACGATAACACCTCCACCAGCAAATTTGCGTAAAACTATCAATACCCTAATATTTCAGGACTGGTTTGTACGTTTTACTCAACAATCGGCGGAATGAAAGCAGTACTAATGACTGACGTGTTCCAGTCTTTGCTGATGTTCATCGCCGTATTTAGCGTCATCGGAAGCGCACTTTACGAAACGGGAAGTTTCTCGGAAATTTGGCGAATAGCAGCCGAAGGCAACAGAACCGACTTACTCAAGTCAGAACCGCCGAAGAAATGTTGCTAAGTTCATCGGCTCAATTCATCAAATTTCAGCTTCAATCCGGACCCAACAGTGCGCCACTCTTGGCTCAGTTTGATTCTGGGAGGAGGCATCACTTTCCTCTCATTGTATGCGGTTAATCAGATACAAGTGCAGCGTTATCTGACTATTAAGGATCTGAAACGTGCCCAATTTGCTCTATGGTGGAACTGGCCAATATTAACTTCGCTCAGTTTGTGCACATCGTTTGCTGGACTGTCGATTTACTCCAAATACTACAACTGTGATCCTGTATCTGCCCAGTATATCAGTAGTATAGATCAGGTGAGGTCCAGAAAGCGGAAAAACGATTGTGCATGTTAAATTAATCTGCTGCTTGATTGCTTCAGCTGATGCCATACTATGTGGTGGACACCATGGGCCACATTCCTGGACTATCTGGACTGTTTGTTGCTGGAATATTCAGCGCCGCTCTATCCACGGTTTCAGCTGCTCTCAACAGCTTAGCTGCTGTGACGATGGAAGACTATTATAAAGTATTTGCAACGCTACGGGTTTGTTCCTCCTGTAAGTTTGTTGAGTTTTCAGCCACTTCATAGAGTAATCTTCAAAAAGAGCCTCTCGTCCAATTCCGCATCGGTTCAGACCAAAATCGTCGCCCTGATTTACGGGGTTATCTGCATAGGAGTGGCGTTTTTGGCGCAGTTTTTAGGGGGAATTCTTCAGGCTGCCCTCACCATTTTTGGAGTAGTCGGAGGGCCGCTTCTGGGCTTGTTTTCCTTGGGGATGTTCACACTTGTCGCGAATGAAGAAGTACGCCATCGACTTTTACCTTGCAGTTGTAAAACTATTTTTTTTTATTTAGGGCTCTGTAGTTGGTCTTTTTACCGGCATCGGTATAGCGCTGTGGATGGCGTTCGGCCCAAAGCCCACTCCAGCCACTCTTTTCACTAC